GTTGCACGATGCCTTGTAGGGATTGATGAGAGGACGAGTGCGTTCTGTGCAAACTGTGCCGGGTGACTAGGCAGGCTTATGTCTTGTCTAGTTTCGCCATTGGTCGTACCTGCTGACGGGTCCACAGGCTGTGCTCTTTTGGTGTTTTGCGTTCACAGTGACTAAGAAGGGGACTGATGAGAGGACGAGTGAGTGTTCCTGAGCGAACCTTGCTCGATGACTTGCGTTTTTGAGACTCTATCGTGTCGTCTCATTGTGTAGCCACCAGGCTGTGCTCCTCTAGTTTCTGTGTCTAAGCCATGCAGCAATGGCTGTCGCTTCATACCAAGCTGCAATACACATTTGCTGGCCATTATAACTTTCACTCGTGGGATCATGCTGAGGAAACGAGTATGGAGTGGGATGGTTGGAACAAAATATGAGAGCCCAACTTTAAGAAATATAGCTATTGGATCTCCAGATAAATACCTACTCACCGAACAATGCATTTATTGATGCGTTTTCATAAAAAGCGATAACTTCGAGAATATTTATTTCGCTTATTCAGTCTCATCACTTGTCCATTTTGCCACGATTACTTGCCTCATTTTGTCCCAAGGCAGGGCAAAATGAGGAAAATACATTGCCTGATATTTAGGAGGATCACACTTCAACATGACGAGATATCAAACCAGCGCCTTTATAAGAGATAGACAATTGATCAGCCTTCAATATCCACCTGCTAAAGACTTTTTGGACAGACTTATGAACGTCCCGTATTAAAAAACCGTTAAGGTGTCCGTCTTGCCCCGCTTTCCCCTATTACAAGTTGCATGCTTTTTCTAGTTATTACGGAACTAAGACTTGTAATCAAATAACTTAAGAATAGCGCGATAACCGAGTATGTCAATCCAATGAACACCTAACTCACGGATAAGCACGCAAAAACACACGATAAAGGGCCAAAATACGATGTTTGGCTCAGCAAACACTTCTTGTCCATGCTGCCATCTCGCGGGAGGTTGGAAAACTACAAGTGAGTACCGACATGACGATCAATGACGCAATCAACTGAAAGCGTTTTGAAGAGCGCATTCGCTAATAAATACATTTGGTTGTCTAGAGGAGTACTTTTCACTTGAATGCGTACCAATAGCTGTGTGAGCTTATTTCGCTATATCTTCAATATTTTGAAATGCGGAACCTTTGGAGTTATTTTAAGTTGGACGCCGTAATTTTGCAAATCGCGGTTGCGGCCGACAAATCACGGTGGCAACCGACCTCCAGCACTGAGCGAGACGCTCTTGCGGGCGGGGAGGGGGGGGGGGGGGGGGAGAAGCAAATGGTTGTTGTTATCGGACAAGTGTTTTGTAACATAAGCGGATGCCCCCTGTAGCAGTCTAGCATGAGTTATCGTCTGTGCACGAAGCTGTTCTTCTTCGCGGGTGATTAAAAATAATTTTCCGGCCGCCGTATGCTGCTCACCACGCTGCGGGCAGGCGAGATGCAGTTAGCAATGTGTTATTAAGGGTGATTCTAGGGGTGGGGAAAGGGGTGATGCCCCCCACCCCGAAGGTCGTGAAACCATTATTTGCCCCCCCCTCCCAACGGTCGGAGATATGCTGTTACGCGTCATGTTTCCAACAATTACTTGCGTAGGCTTCTCATTCTGCTACTATTGGAGCAGTTAAATGTTTAAACAGTTAACGCGTATCCGCAGCTCACTGCGACTGTGGTTACCATGAGTAGCCTAATGTTGCCTCTTGGTGTTTTAGATGGCATTCTACAGGATTGGCTGGCCCCCCTCCCCCCCACATCCAAAAAACGAGGTCTATATCCGCCCCCGTATGCCATCATAGGGTGAATTGAGTAGCGTTATCGTTTGCAAACGGGTGCTGTCTTCGAGAGCAATTACATGTATTTTCCGGGCAGCCGTATGCTGGACATTACGCTGCGGGGTGGCCGGCCCTAGTAAGCAATGCGCCGTTAGGGGTGATAAGTGTAAGAAAGGTAACGTCGGCTGATGAGCGATTTACACTACCGGCCGATAAAGATGCGCCCGCTCCGCCGACTGGGTTAGTTCAAACGCCGCAAATTTCCAAATCGCTGCAGCGACTTGAGTACCAGCATAAGTGAGACGCTGTCGGAGGATTTCCGAGTGAAATGAATGCCGTAATAGACGAGCTGTTTCGTACTGAGCCTAAACGACCGTGTAGCACCACGATCGAATCCGCACAGTAGCACTCTTCGCGTGCGAATTAAAGTTGTTTTTCCTGGTTGCCGTACGTTCACTACCACCTACGGGGCCCCCGCTGTAGTAAGCAATACACAGGTACGTAGTGATTTGATGGAAAAGTGCCACGTCCCCCGATGAGATATTTACATGGCAAGCCGATAGAGCTCCACCCGGCGGCCATACGCGTATTGGCCAGCGTACGGCAGCCCGTGTAGAATACATGTAATCGCGCGCCAAATGTGAGAAGGCGTGCATTCGATATCGCTGCTGTGTGGGCATTC